ATTCTGCACTACTCATAATTCTGTTTATTCCAGATTAAATTGCCAACTGAACTTGAGATCGTACCTTTATCTTTCCCTCCATCTGCTGGATGCTTGCCCACTCATAAACAAATCTGGCTTTGATTCTAGGACAAGAAAAACTTAGCTGAAATGAATTTCAACAGGCACTAAACAGACCCACGACGACTCTTTTTCTTTCTTGCTCTCTTCACCTGCTACCTGGCATTTAATGTTTGATCCCACCTAGATCTCTCCAGAGAAAAAGGATGGCACCAGAAGACAATATGCAGAATTCAGGGAATGTCTTTGACTATTGGACTAATATCTCCTATAATAGGAAAGACTGAGGCAGCTGGCACTGTTCAGCCTAGAGAAGAGAAAGCTCAGGAGAGACTTGTTTCTGTAAATACCTGATGGGAGGATGAAAAGAAAATGGAGTCAGGCTCCTTTCAGTGGTGCAAGGTCAAGAGGCACTGGGCACAAAGTATGACACAAGAAGTTTAATCTGAGCATCAGGAGCAATTTTTTATTTTGAGGGTGACAGAGCACCAGCAAGCTGCTCCAAAAGGTGTTTCGGAGTCTCCCTCCTTCGGTACATGCAGAAGTTGTCCTGGGTAACGTACCATAGATAGCTCTGCTTAAGTGGGCAGGTTGGACTACCTAGTCTCCAGAAGTTTATTCCAAAATCAAAAATTCAATAATTCTGTTGTTGTGTGCTTAAATACCTTATAAATTTTTATTCAAATACTTCATAGATTTTGGATTTATCATTGAGAATATTGCTACTTTAGGAGCAATTCCTAGCTTTATCATTTTCAAAATTTTGAATTCCTATTTTTTTTATCACCTACCTGCATTCACATGATTTCAAGATTTTTCTATCTTTTCATTTTTAGAAAGGTATCTTTTTTTTTTTCTTGTCACCTTGGATTATGACTTGAGTATATTTAAACACTCAGAAAACACAGCAAATAAAATCTTGAAATATTGTATTTAGATTTTTATCATTTTTAATATAATATCACAATTTATGTTTCAATGATTTTTTAATATTTAGAGTTGTCAGTATGTATACACATTATATTGGTGATATTTTGGTGTTTAATGATGAGTGTTGTAACTAATACTCTGATTTGCTTCTGCTTTAATGCTGTCTGAATATTTAATACAGGACAGATGTCAACCTCCATTTCAAAACTGAGTAGAGAAAAAATTTTGTCAATAATTTTTGTCTTTTACCCAAGCATAACAAAAGTATAATTGCCCCCAACATTTGTTAGTTGTCTGAGTTTAGGACATATAGGTGTCTCCAATTCTGTTGTCACAAAAATGTTGGATACAGGTATGAGTAACATTTAACTGTTATCTTGGAAAAGAGTAGCTGATGCAGCTGGATTCCCTCCCCACTTTTAAAAGACCGCATTCCTCAAGGCAATATGAATGGCATCCCTATTATATGCACTACATTTCAACCCCAAATTCCGTATAAAATGTTTTATTTCTCTCTCAATGACACTTTCCTCCTTCTCAAGCATGCCAAATAGATAAACCAATGTTATTTGACATGGAATAAGTTTCATTCCACACAGGAAGAGATGTGTGAACTTGATAACTATCAAGAAGAAACAACTGGAGCCTGGGGTCATAGCATCACAATCACTTTTTCCTCTTTTTCTTTCTCCTCTCCTCCCTTTTTTGGGGGATAGGGTTGAGAATGTTTTGCTACTTTAAGTTTCTTCTTTAGAAGATCTGAATATATTCAGTTATGCATTAATTCTAATCATGACAATCTAATATTTTCCTCACCAGGGCACGGTGGAATTAAGGAGATACTGTGTGTAACAGTAGAAACATGGCAGGAAAGAATAGAGCAATTGGAACATAATCTTGTATGATTTTCTATTCAAATAATTTATGAATTTTGAATTTATCATTGAGAGTAATGCTACTTAAAGAGAAATTCCTAGCTTTACAATTTTCAAAATTTGAAACTCCTATTTTTGTATCACCTAGTCCTGCATTTATATGATTTCAAGACTTTTCTGATTTTTATTTTTTAGAAAAGTGTTTTTTAACCTTTTCTTGTTGTGCTGGAGTATGACAAGAGTGCTTAGAAAACTCAGAACACTCACAACAAATAAAATACTGGCAATAATGTGTTTAGATTTTTATCATTTTTAAGATAATCTCATACTTTTGAAGAATGTATTTTCTAATATTTAGAATTGCCATTATGTATAAATGTAATATATTGATGTTGATTCCTGCTGTGTAAGAACATGATTTTCAATTGAATTACTCCTCTAACAAAGATGTTGGTGAGAATCATATAATTCCCTCTTAGCACCAGCCAAAAATTGGTGAATAAGAAATATTTTGTCAAAATAATTAAAATTTGAATATTGGAAATGTACATGGAGCCTGTATGACAAGATGTTGCACAAATAGCACAACGTAAGATTTAGTTTGGAAACATCTTATTCTGTATTGTAGCATCTACTGGACTTGGATTAAATACCTCTCTGCATACAATGTGAGCAATATGGTAAGCTCCTTTTGGAATGTAGGATATTGAAATGTTTTAGAAATTTATCTTCCAATCAGCTTCTTTCTTGTATTTCCAAAGTTGTGTTAGTAATCTCCAAAACTCCATTGAAAATCAGTGTCATTTGTGCACCTCTCTACCTTCCAGGTTGTGATATTAAAAAGTAAATGTGATTCTTCTCTGATGTAAAAAAATTTTTTAGAGTGTAAGCTCCATGGGGCAGGGACAGTTTCATCATATTTACTTGAACAGAGGCTATTATTTTTCAGTGTTACTGATATATTAGGCACTATTAATTAATATGCAATGATTTTAGAATAGTTTCATACTAAGTATAAATTAATTGTCAAAGTAATTGTTTCTTTAAAGATATTCCCAAAGTATCTTCAGAAATATAAATCGGCACACATGGTCTGCACAGGTTTTGCTTAATGGTAAAGTACAGCCACTTGATAAATGAAATAAATAGAAGCTGATGTGAAAAAATGAATACAGATTATCCTGTGCTGTACTCCTGAGTTCCTTACAATTGAAATACTTTTTCCTGTAAGTATCTCTGAATCAAAAATACATTTCTTATTTTGCATTCTTTATGAATAGAGCTTTTCCGCGTTATATTCAGAAAGGGTTATAACAAAAGAACTCAGTAATTCAAAATGGGTTTTTTACTCACAACTTGAGAACAATTTCAAAACGTACACCTGCAACTTTTTCCCAATTGTCTCGCTGGCCAGACAAATTTGGTTATCAGTTTCTCAGTATTATTCAGAAAAAAAATTGCTACAATCCACAATATTTTTATTTCAATAAGAATGCATTAAAATAAACATTAATTGCAAACTAATTACATTTCTAATTGTGTAAGAGACAGAGAAAACGGAGTGGTGACATAAAAGCTTTTCATGCATCATGTTTTCTTTTGCTTATTGTTGTTGAATGCTGGCTTTTTTTGAGGATGTGTGAATTTCATGTGATAATGCCCTTTGAGTCATAAGAGTTTTGTATATATGTGTCTTATAACATTCTGTTTATTATTTCATAGCATTTATTTCCATTAGCAATCAGAATCATTTCAATTTCAGTTAAAGGTACTAATATTTTTTTTTATAAATCATAGCTTGGCTTGTGCGGATAAAAGTTTCATATCAGAAATGTGCTTGTCTTCTCTATCAGCAAGGCATATGAGTTGTGAATATACTTATGAAAGAGGAATGAGTGCACAGACCTTTATTGTGCTGAAGTAAGAATGACTGTAGCAGTAAACTAATGCATTTTGTATATGTATTTTTTCTGTGCAGGAATATTTACATGTTTGTAGAAAATAGTATACAGGATAAGCAGGAATGAATTAATAGACTGCTCTAATAGCAAAAAGACACATGCTATGCTCATTATTCAAAAGAAGCCTCAGTTCCTGTCTTGTCCTTAGAAATATGCAACAGATATTCCTGTACAGATGCACTCCCAGGGAAAGTAATTTTCATCATATAGACAACAGGATTTAAATCACAGAAAGAGTGGTATTTAATAATGTTTCAGCCCCCTTTCTGAACACAGAACACAGAGGCATAAGGGGGAACAGTACTTCCATAGAAATTACTGCAGAAATGTCTATTGAATCTAAAAGAAGGAGAGGTGAGATAATTCTAAACAAATTAGGAAAGATCTGACATAATGACCACATTGTAAATCGCTTGCTTTTCTTCCTGTAAACAAAATTATCATGTTACCATGGTTCCCAAGAGGAAGTCTGTGGATCTACTTCAGGCAAATTCCCATTGTTATGATTAAGAGATGAACAAGGACCATAGCAATTACCCTTGTCACTTGTAGAAGTAATAATCTGCCTATGTAAATCTGCACAACATCATCTCAATTACGTATGCTATTTTTTTTCTGGTAAAAATCTGTGTCACACACTTACAAACAATATATTTAACATGAAAATCCCATCAGAATTCCCTATATAAAAATTGCCCCATATCTCACTCATTTAGCTCTCATTTCGCAAATGTCAGTTACTTCAGCAGAAGATTCCTCTTATATTAAATGTGCAGGATTTTATAAATTATAAAAAGGAATTATATATATATATATATATATAGCCTGAACAGGTGAAATACAGTCAAGATTCTTCTTTTACCTGTCTTATTTGTTATTTTACTGCAGAATATTTATTCATACACCTTTATTCCATTTAGGTAATGAAATAAATCTTAATAATTCATTTTGTAGCCACTACTTTCTGAACTCTATTAATATTCATACTGTATAGGTTTTGAAATATAGATTACACATTTGTGGTTGTATATTGAATTGTAATATTCTGACAGCCCTTCAGAGCCACCTCTATTTGTATGTCACTTCTTTCCTTCTTGTCCAGGAAGAAAATAAGAAATGTAATATACCTTATTTTCATAGCTTTGATATGAAATCCTTATGCTTGTCTTACCAGGTCCTGAAGGGTTTTCCAGAATGCTTACAAGCTGACATTTGCCTGCACCTCAATCAAAATTTGCTTCAGAACTGCAAAGCTTTCCGGGGGGCCAGTAAAGGCTGTCTTCGAGCTTTGGCTATGAAATTTAAGACAACACATGCTCCTCCTGGAGACACTTTAGTGCACTGTGGAGATGTTCTCACTGCTCTTTACTTCGTGTCAAGAGGCTCCATTGAAATTCTTAAGAGTGACATTGTTGTAGCCATTCTTGGTAAGTAAATTACTACAATGCTACAATTACTACAATGCATGTTAAGGGTCATAAAAGAAATATTTGTTGTTTGGGGATAGGAAATCTGAATGTTTAGTTGCTGTCATGTAAACTCAAGCAGAGAAATAATTTAAGGAGCAAATTCTACATTATTCCAATAATTCATGTGCAACAGAGAGCCCTGGTCCACTATAAGAGCAAGAGTGAGTCACATTTAACCCCGGGTAAATGGTGAGATGCAAGCACGTCAGATTACTCCACTACTGATGATGCTGCATCAATCAAAACCATCTGATGTCCTTTCTTTGAGCAGCATGGATACTGACAGAAAAGTGTGGGTAGCTTATAGGAAAGTGTAACAGATTAATCTGATCTAGATTGATAACTAAATTTAATAACATCATTATTTCTCTTATACTTCTAAAGAGCATATTCTTGTTTATATAGTATGGGGAGTAATTTGTTTTTTTTTACCAACGAAGTATGGCTCAGAGCAATGTTCAGTCCTGCTGGAAGTTTGCCTGCAGCTGGTGATGGATCTTATGTGGTACCAATGAAAGTTTATCAGCTATAGCAATTTAAAAAAAAAAAAAAAAAAAAAGAGAAATATAACTAAACATCTATAATAACTAAAAATAACCTAAATAAAACTATGCATTCTTCTTCCATTTAGTGTCAGGTAATTAGTGCAAGTGACAATTGAACAGATAAGTAAGGATTTTGCTATACTGAAAGCTATACCAGCTGTTTTATCACTCAGGTGTTCTTTTGTTCTATTTTTCATTTATCATCCACTGTGGGAATTTACAGCCAAGAAAGTAGCTGAAGCACAATGTGGATTGGTAGCAATGTGTTATTAATTCACTTGTGACTGATTATTCTGCTAGTACTTAGAAATACAAAAGTATGCCTACAGCAATCCTTCCCTACATTTAGATAAAGCTATCAAGATAATTTTCTTATCTCATGCTGTTGCATCTCATCAGATGGGCCAGATTAAGGCAGGAGCATGCAAGAACATGTTCATGCAAGAACAACACTGTGAGTTGTCTACTTTTCTGTATGAATGTCTTCCTCTGATTACAAACAGTGTGGTTCAGTGAGGATTTCCTCTCTTACATCAAATACATGTAAATTTCTATAGCACTCAACAAGTTTATGAAGTCATTTTCTTCCTGGATAAAATATGCAAACTGGTTGTGTTTTGTGTGTTATACACATCAGATATTTGTGCACCTCTCACACTGCAGCAGAGCCCCAGGTAATTGTAATTGCAGAGTAATGCCACTGCATATCTTCCAGCCGGTAATGATACAAATGAATCACAATATGTAACACAAATGTAACAAAGATTATCTGTTCTTAACTAAATATTTTTCAGAAAAAAAAAAAAACTGTAAGGAGAAAACAGACAACAAACCTCTTTGTTCTTTGTTTTCTAGCACTGGAAAACTTCACAGGTGGTTTCCACTCTGAACAAGTTTTGTTCATAAACATAAAAACAAACATAAAAAAAATCCAAAAAATGATGGGTGCATCCACCTGTTTTCCTCAGCTCATCATCACTATCTAAAGCTGGGTCTATCACAATCTAAGTTGGGTCTGATAAATGCTAGCCTGAGAGCAGTACTTCTGTGCCTGATTCTTAGAAAAAATGATGGCTGTGGATCTCACAGAATCTACTGCCTGTTTTAATGCTGCAAAAAAGATACTAAAGAACTGCCATCATATCAATGTTGTCATATTACAGAGAAGGTATTATATGCCTTGTAGAGGTACCTCTACATTTGTAGATATTAAGACCAGCAGGACTATTCAATTATGTCAGCTAATCTGTTGTATCAAAGACTTCTATTACATTTCATACTTTTAACTATCTGTTGTGTTTGATGAAAGCATAATGTTGAGAAAAGTGATGAATTTTGATCTGAAAACAAAATAAGATAAAGTAATCGCTGTTCATCACAGTTTCTTTCCAGTGATTCATTTTTATTATTAAAAATGCATGCTTTATTTCCAATATGAAATTTTAATACTTCAGTTTTTTTGCATTGGTTCTTGCTTTGCATTCCTCATTATATGCTAGAGGCATTTCATACTGAGTAATTTTCCTCTCCTTAAGCATGTGAGCAACATTATCAAGTTACATCCTTAATTTTCCTCTCAATAAGCTGAACGGGCCATGCTCGTCACAACTCAACCCATGAATTATTTTTTGCATGTCTTAGCTACTTGCTCACTCATTTATCAGCTTCTTTTTTTAAAAAATGGAAAAAAACAGAACTATTTGCAGTAACTTAAAATAAAAAGTATGAATGCCTAGCAGAGGCAAAATCACCAATGTCATCTGTTTTCAGTTGCTATGACCACTATTCTTTGCAACAAGTGTTTTCCCAGATATACTCCACAGCTCTATTTTACAGATATGCTGTGCATTCCTTTGTTTAAAGAGTATTTTGTACTGGTCTGTGGCTGCTCTGCTTTTATGACAATTGGCTTCTGATACAGCTAATAAGCAATTAAATAGAGGTGACAATTGTAGCAAATAGTGTGAATGTGTCAACATTGATGAAAAGAGTTGTAATAATATCAAAATAGAAGAAGCTATGCTTAAAGAGCTTCTTCAGAACAGCTTCTACATCTTGGAAGTTTAACATTCCCTCCAAAAATTGTAAAACCTAGTAATTTCCTACCAAACTATATATCAAGTAAGGTTTGTTTCTTTGTGCAATTTCAACAAAATGAGTTTCTAGGGTAGAAAGGTCCTGGATTCTACTGAAAGTCAGAAATTACACCTTTGTTATTGTAAGGATATAATTTAAATCCAATAAATAATGTTTTTTCTGAGAAAGGAAAAGGAAACTGCTTTTAGTTACACTGTTTTGACAGAACTGAAGAAAAACTGATGAAACTAGATTTTTCTTTCACTTCTCCAAGTATGTGACTATGTAATTGTATTGATTTTAATTTACTATTTAATAACAGTGCTTTTGATTTACATCAGCATATGTGCAATGGAAATCAGATTGTAATGCTTCATGCAAAATCAAGTATTCTACACAAATATCAAACACAAATACGTGATTGAATTTAATGGCTTATTCAAGTTTGGAACAATAATCTCCATCTAATTTTCTTTCTGCAGGAAAAAATGATATTTTTGGAGAGATGGTACATCTTTATGCAAAACCAGGAAAGTCAAATGCAGACGTGAGAGCTTTGACATACTGTGACTTGCATAAGATCCAGCGAGAAGATCTACTAGAAGTTTTGGATATGTATCCTGAATTTTCTGATCTTTTCCTCACAAATCTAGAACTGACATTTAATCTGAGAGATGAAACTGCAAAGGTACATATAAAAAGTTATGTATTTTTTTCCTTAGCATTGGGCAAAATCTAATCCACAGTAACAAAACTTGAAGAGAGCAGCTGAAATGCCAAGGTTAGCAAAATTAAAAGCTAAAAGCCTGAGGCCAAATCTTATTTTGAAAAAACCACACTCACCTGATTAATTCTCGTGGAGTCAATTAAACTCAGCGGAAGTGAATGAAATTATCCAGATAATGTTAATCTAACAGGATTTTGTTCTATATTTAAATAGTATTAAAATTTTAGTGGGGAGGGTTTGGAATGTTTTGTTAAACCATAGAAAATATGTTTTTCCACCAAGCAGGGCCATAGCCTGGGTCATTACAAGGGGAACGTTAGGCACTAAATATAAGTGTATGACCATGAAATAAAAATAAACCAGATTTTCCAAAGTCATTCTCTGTCTAACACTACAGAACATTCAAGTGCCTTTCAAACATGAATTGTTAATTCTCTTGTCTTGGAGTGCACCTTACTCCTAGGAGACAAAAAGCATAGAAGAGACTTTTCAAATGTCATTAATTCTTCAGATGTGCAGGGATTTATTTCTCTTTTTTCCTACAGTGACTCTTCTATGTGGTCTCCTTTGCCCAGAATGCATCTTCCAGCGTGCAGGAAAAGTAGAAAAATCCTTAGTGTTTCCTTATCTCAGGTTGAAGAAGTCAGTCTGAACTGGGAAAAACAAGGGAAAGTTAGACCAGAAGGGAAGAGGGGAAGGACTTCTTGGGCTCTAGAAAGTGTTCCCGAGAAATCTGTATGGTACACTAAGCACTGACCACCAAACATGAGTTACACTGCCCAACAAATGGCAAGTTTGCATTTCATTCTTTCTGAGCTTCTATCAGTTTGTGGGTATTTTATCATACTTTTAAGGAAAAAGAGAATGAATGAGAAGAGGGTAACAGAATTTGACCTCAAAGACATTCCAAGAAACAGACAGAACTCTTTTTAAGTTTTGGATGGTAAATAACAGAAATGGTTTTGCTAATCACCTGTTGATCATTATCTTAAAAAGATTAAATAAAAATAGCTTCTGATTAGAAATGCCATTTTCTTCTTTTGTTGAGTCTTTTCTTCCATAAAAGATTGTTATTAAAATCTGAAAAAAAGACCAATTCTATTCTTTATTTTAAAATGTATTTCATTATATTTATTGGAAAGATCATCATTATTAATTATATGGGAAATACAACACAATTCATAGTCCAGTGATAAATTTAACTTAAAACTGTAAGTTCACATATTTGAAAGACTCCTTGAAGATAAATTTAGATTAATGATTGTGGTTTTCTTAGCAAATTTTTCCTTGCAGTTATAATACTATCAATATTTTATCATTATTTTTCTAGATCTGAGAAAACGGAAACAAATAACATTGTTAGAAGACACAAAGAAAGCTCTTGCTACTCAGATCCCTTTAGAAATTTTTCAATTGAAAATTCTTACTGCTGTGCCAGCTACTAAGAAAAAAATCAATAGACATCACAGACAGGAAAGAACAAGCTCGCCCATGCCTCTGAGCCTGCATTTTCTCCAGCAATTCTACTTGCATTCCACTGACTGTCACAATCCAGAAAATGATTTCCAAAAAAAGTGATGAGCACAATCTGATTGATATACAATATACAAAACATCACTCAGATGCAGATTCGGTATCTGAATAATATATGCTTCTGCCTTAACTTCTGCTCCTGCCCTCAAAATTATGTAAAGTGCCTTATTCCTCGTGCAGTTATTCTACTAGAAACCCACCTCTTAGACCCCTTACTGATCAGGTTTACTGCATGTAGAGAAAGATATAAGCATTTACCATGTTTCCCTCTGCCCTTATCCCACCGTATGTTTTCTTGAGTGGTACAGGAAACCTCACTGGCACAGGGAAGGGTAGTACGCTGAAGTCAGTGCCTTGCGTGTGTACACAAAGAGCGTAACTTGCGCTTTATTGGCTTATCCATAAATTTCCCTCTTATAAGTAGAAAGAAGAGTTAAATACATCCTGAATTCCTAAAGGCAACAAAAAGCACATATATTAATGTTTACAGAGAAAGACAGCATTATATTAAGCTATGGAAGTAAATATCTTAATGGACTGCATAAAGTTAAAAATAATGAGGAGTATACTGCCTGGTGCTTTTCAATCTTATATTTGTTGTTTTAAAATGAAACTTTATAATTAGTACCATACAATTAAATGTAAATCTAACTACGATCAGCTACCACCTTACTCCTTGCAATAGTATGTATACATTTTCTGTTAAATTGATTTGTTGGGTGTGGTTTTTGAGTTGTTTTTTGGATTTATTTTCTCTAAACTTATTTAAAACACATCTGTAGTAGTTCAGAAAACTGATAATACAGGTGAATTTATTTATCAGGATACTTTTTCACATCATGTAGCAACATTGCCAGTTTTGCTCAATGTCAATATGAACTTTGTAACATTAGCACTGACCAATACTATTAGATGGGGATGATGTAGACTGACTTGTGTAATATTGCCTTTCTTAAAGCTTGAACATGATTGAGTCAATCAACTATTGAAAACCTGCTCTCTTTATGTGGGACTAATCTGTCATTATGTTTCATCTTTCATTAATCAAGTCTGACATCGTAATAAGATCACAAACTACTAATGATACAAATGGAGATAACTGCAAACTACGAAGACGGAAATTGTCCTTTCAAAGTGAAATAGAAAAAGGTAATTAACTTCATTTTTTACATTAGACAGTGCTGCTTCATTATTCATTAGTATTTCACTTGGTAATTCTGGGTACATTAGGGTCCTATGTTGGTTGTTACTGTAGCAGGTCTTGAGAATCCATCTGAGTGGTAAAAACATTATGTGCATTGTCCCCTACATGGTTTTATATATCTAGAGGATATCAGTGTCACCTTTCCATGACTTCTCATCCATCAGTGCAGAACTATTCAAACATTAATCTATCCCACTATTCTTCAAATAAACACTATCCTTCAGATAAACATGTATGTGTATATATATATATATATATATATATATATATATATATATATATATATATATATATATATATATATGTACCTATACAAATACCTACATGTTATCTCCAGGCCATTATCCGTTTTCTGAGACATCATGTTTTAAAATGTTTGGCGAAACTAGTCTACTATATTATTTACCAGCAGTGTTGATTTTATTTCCTCAGGAAAGTACTTTGCTGAACTTTAAGTTAAGTGGTGTTTTTTTTACCTGGTGGTTCTACAGTAGATTCCTATAGTCAGGTTTTAATTCATTTGGGAATGTGTAAATGGTTGTACTGGAAAGAGTTCAGATTTTTCTGTTTGCATTCACCTTAGAGACTTTTGTGATTAATCCTTATGAAGGAAAATTCAGTGAAATACTAAACCCAGTCAGAATATTCAGTACTCCAAAATACCTGTAGATGTGGTCAGACAGCAATAATAATAAAGAAAGCTAAATTTATACAAGATTCAGAAAAGGAAAACACAATTCCTTGGATAATTTTATATGGTCCAATGATTTGGACAAATTAATGTTTATACTATGCCACTTTTTCCTACTCCACAGTTAAATCCCAATCCTAAATGTAGCACAAAACCAATTTTGGATTTGCATTGTAGTTAATAATAAATGGGAACACTTTAAAGGTACATGGCAAGTATAAAGCTTGATGAAGAAAGACTTCAATCTAGAGTGTGGCTACTCAGAACAATGACATTGCCATTTGATCAAATAAACATCCTTAGGGCAAGAAGCCAAGACTGACACCAAATCTGTCAAGAAAACGTCCCCATGAAATATTCAATCTGCTCATCACTAAGAATCTGTTGACAGAGGTGCCCTGCCTGAATAACCTTCAAATTTCTTATGAGAAAACATATGCTGCTATCTAGATATGATGGAAGTGATCTTCCATGTCATGTCTCCTGCAGAATTACAAATAGGCTCCTCAAGTGTCAGTGTGGTGCAAAGCCTCAAGATTTTATGGTTCTCACTCTCTAGATTATATTGAATAGTTTCTCTTGGAGACATTTATTTACATTACTTTTGAGATAATATAATTATATAATTTCTCACTGTTTTGTCATTGAAAAAAAAGCCTTTCTTTGGGAAAGAGAAGACAAGGCTTCTCTACAGTACCTGGTAACTTTTGAGTTAGAGAGAAGAGCAGCACATTTAAAGTCCATCTAAGCACTGAATATGCTTTTGACCCACTGGTTTACTGTCCCACTCTGGTCCCTGTTCAGATTCTTCATATGTTCCCACTGCCAGAGAAGGCACCTAGTAGTCATACACCTTTTGTATCACTTCTCTGTGGCCCATCCTATGAGGTCATAGAGTGCTAGATGTTACTACTGGATTGTAAAGTTCTATTTATATCAACGTCAATATCTTCCCATGGAAGAGAGCTGCATCATACTTTGATGCAGCATAATTAGACCATAATTGATAAATATTTCAGCACGATCCTGTAGAGCGCGTTAGAAGAACTGGAAAAGAAAGATCAAGTTCCTAAAAACAGAGCTGGCAAAGCATTTCTGGTCAACATATTCTTATAGATAAAAAAAAATGTCTCACATAATGACTTCCATCATATTTTGATTTTGTAACTGAACAGACTACAATTTGAGTAGACAAACAACATTCTCGCTTTAAGATTTTGATATTTATAATCTCAATAAATTATTTATTTGTAATTATTATGGGGAAGAGGATTACCCGTTCTTTACTTTTGGTTATTGACCTATATTACATAGTTTGGGAAAGCATTATTTTCATCTTCAGTGTGATCATCAATGATTTTCTCTCTTTTGGAGTGCTAAAATGGGCTTGCATTATCTCAGCCTTTAGTTCATGCTAGCCTGATTTGGACTTTGTTGCCATAGTAACTCTTTCTGCAGGAGTTTTATCAGGGGTTAAAGAAAATCCACACAGCTCGTGCATCTGCAGTTAGTGCCACTACTTTTCCAATTCCAAGTAAGACCTCCTCAGTCTACCTATTACATATTTCCATCATTTCTTGCCTGTGTCAACAGAAATTGATCTTATCTGCTACAAATGCTCAATCATAAGCTCTGGAATTTGCCCAGAGAAGGGCAACAAAACTGATGAAGGGTCTGGAGCACAAGTCTTACGAGGGAGCTGGAATTGTTTAGCCTGGAAAAGAGGAGGTTCAGAGCCTCACTGCACTCTACAACTTCCTGAAGGGGGAAGGGGTTTGGCTTCTTCTCCGAGACAACGAGCAGGACACGGGGAAATGGCTGCAAGCTGTACCAGAGGAGGTTTAGGTTAGACATGAAGAAGAACTTTTTCTCTCAGAGAGTGGTCAGACACTGGAATGACTGCCCAGGGAGGTGGTGGAGTCACCATCCCTGGCAGTGTTCAAGAGGCGTCTGGTTGAGGAGCTACAAGAAATGGCTTAGTAGCTTGTGGTAGCAATGATAATGGGAGGACTACAGGTTGGACTAGATGATCTTGAAGGTTGTTTCCAACCTTACGATTCTATGATTCCATAATCGTAATATTCTTTTAAAGGATCTAGCTTGTTCTCTGTTTTCCAGAAAGCAAACTTTCCAGACTGCAAACCACAAGACATCCCCTACAAAATTAAAACATGCACTGCATAGCAGTTTATTCTTGCTCTCATCTAAAATAAATTCATTGCAGGACTTTCAGTATAACAGATGAGATTCCTTTCACAGGTGCAGCCTCAGCCAGTTGCCATAGGTGCTTGACAGTCAGCCAAGAAATTCTCTCCATGGCTGCTCAAAATAAGCAGTATTCCTTCCCAACAAAGTTTTCAGATGGGTTCACAAGTTAGTCTCCTGCTGAAAACTGGTGGACAATGAACCATTTTATCTAAATTCAGTTGCTTTATTTAGCGGTGCAGAACACAGTCTTGTCTTGTTCATTTTTTGTTTTCCTTCAGTAATTCCAGTTCAGTAGGAGTTAGCTGTTTTCAAGAGCAATGCATATGGGCAAGAAGGTTCTTCAGCTCTGCTGGTTCTGACTGCAGATCTGATATTCCATGCTGAACAGGGCATCAGTGGAGTTGGTTCCATAAATAAGGAATCCATATAGTTGAAAAAAATGCAAATAACAGACTATCACCCTAGAAAATCTCACTCAGACTTTGAAATCTTGAGATTTTGAAAAGACTTTACTTAAGTTCAAGCAATATTACTTTTGCTAGTGTCTTCTGTAACTTTTTGTTAATGTACACCTTTGTGACACTATTTGAGCATCCAATTAGTCTCACGAAAAGCTATCATTTGCATTGATATTAAATTCACATAAACCCTTAGCTGGAAGCTATCAAAATCCTGGACCTGGTCTAGGCACTCACACAAAATTCTTGTGAAGCCATGGAAGTAATTGGATACAAAATCGTTTCCCAAGATAAAGCTTTGTTTTGGGGCTAAAACTATACTAGTGCTATACGTAAATCCTATCTGCTCTTTGTTCTTTGAGCAGGCCATATAAAATGCCTGCAGGGTAATATAAATATTGTCTAAATAAGACAGCATGGACATAGTACCTAGGAATGTAATGAAGACCTCACTGAAATAAAACATTGCTCTGGATTTTTAGCTATAATCCAAAGGCAACATCGTCCTGCGGGCTCTAGCTGAGAGAAGGAGAAGGACTCCAATAGAACTGTATTAGTAATGAGAGATTCAGGTAGCTAGCAATGCTTGATCTTGCCAGCTGGCTCTAGGAACTCATTAAAAGGAATTTTTATGTCTATCGATGTGATTTTAATAACCCACAAAAGGAAGTTCTTATGAAATCTTTTTACACAAATACCTCCTTCACTTGCTCATGTTAACACAGTCTGTAGCAATCAAGTGCAATATAAAATGCATGCTGCAAAGTTTCATTTTAAGCATATTAGCTCCCATTCTTGTACCCTCCTCTCAGCTTATACTTTTAAAGGCTTGGTTTACAAATAGATGATTCAGCCAAGAAGTATTTTCTGTGTCCCCAGCAAGAAAGTAGGGAAGGAATTTGTTTTTAAAAAAATAATAAATAAATAAAATTGAAGCTCTTACTTAACTGTTAAACTAATATATTTTGCTAATGAAGTCCACTTGGGCTTAATTAGAAAAGAGTTTCTAACATTCACCTGGAGTGTCAGGTGGTTAAATGATCAGGAAGCAACTATTATCAGGGCAAGGAATATATAGCCTAGAACAAGATTTCACGTTCCTGAAATTTCACCTTCAGTGAAACAGTTGTCAGAGAACCCATCACTGCAGTTTTCCATCTGCTCCTATTATTTTTGTTTTTGATGTTACCACAGTGCCTAGAAGATACCTCAGGGAGCTTCCATAAGAATCCTGTTTCTACAAGTTGTTCCCAGAGAGGCTGTCTCCAAATGTGTGCAAGCACACATACCAGTAGCTATCCTTTGGGGAAAAAAAAAAAAAAAAAAAAAAAAAAGTACTCATAGCCCTATGGTGAAAATTGTATTCCTTTTAGAAGAGAATTCTAAAATTTGGCTTTTGACCTGAATCTCTTTTCAGGCGTATATTTATACTTCTTTATTTCTGATTTTTTAAAGTATAGCATTATTTCCCGAAAAATAAGAAATGTCCTTCCGTTATTATCTAATTATCATTATAATCCCATTATAATGGGAGCTGACTACCAGTGGGGAAGGATCTCTTCTGGAGATGCCCTTCTCAGGAGTTTCATAGGATACCCAGGATATGGGTAAGCATTCTATCTATTCCCTTTTGATATAATTACTGCTTAACTGAACTCTCTGGTATATTTCACAGTTATAACATCTGTACATTATTGATTATACAGTTGCCTAATCTTTAGTTCAGGATACTGGGAGGAGATTTCAAGTATTTTCTACTGTTCTCTGCTTCTCAAATCATCCAACTCTTCACAGCGCTGAAATGAAATACATCAAAGTGCGCGTATGTTTACCAAGCTCTCACAAGCTTTGCTGTGACAGATCAGGAAGTCAAACGTTCTGCCAGTACACTTCTGTTCCTCTACTATCACTGTAAGACCTACAGCAACAAAATTGGTCTTACTAAAATGATGGAATTTCACTTGTTTATATCTTTAGGTTCTCCAGTGAATTGTTCCCAAATTATGGATAAAACTGAAATTAAAGGGTTCTTTTACTATTAAAATTAGTTACAGAAAAATAAGATGTTTAGATTTTTTTATTATTGAAACAAGGAATTGTTTTAGCTTTCCTAAAATATCACCAGCAACCTACTTTTTACTAGCAATGGAAATATTCCTGCATTGATTTCTAGATAACTTTTTTTTTATTGATCAAAAACCATACAGAAATTTTACAACGTGTTTTGTGAGTAGGATTTCCTAATGGTAAGTGGGATAATTAAGGGAATCAAAATGAGGAGAAATAAGAAAGGAGGAAAACACGTATGTGCTAAAGAATGAAAGGATTTTCTTCTAGGGCTTAGGTAGAAAGCTTATAGGCACTAAGAGTGAGGTCAGGCAACATGGAGGGCTACGGATATGCTGTACACCTTTGTAGTAAGATAATTCATGCAGTTAAAGCTTAAGTAGAGTTAACGCTGGCCGGTACTGTGGTGGGCAATAAAAATGGCTTTTCTAAGTAAATGAGGCAGCCCTCTTTTTATCACAAGGATTTGGTACTGTTGCTAAACAAATTATTAGTGAATGGTTGGAAAACAGTGTTCAAATTAGGGATTAACCACTTTGGATTTTTGGACTTCTTTGAGATTTTGCACCTTTCCAACCTGTTTGTGGTATTGTATTTAATGTGTTCTATGAAATGCCTAATCACCGACTTCAATCATTTGCTGAATTTGATGCATGAGTGGGCACATAAAGCATTTTTCTGTTCCCTGACAAGATTACTGATATTTTTAAATTAACGAACAGACAACAAACAGAATTGCTCACTAGAAAATATTTTGTTCATATGTAGGAAAAACAGATTTACCATCACAGGAATATTTGTGAATATCACGTAAGAAAAACCTAGTAACAGTTGAACCAAAATACTTGCTAGGAATATGAAGATCTGCTGAGTTTTTGAGCAATCTCTCCTTCAAAGTCACAGTGTGCATTTCTCTTTACCAAGGGACTTACTTGGTGCAACATAAAATGATATGGTAGGATTTTTCAAAGGAATGGGACAATATCATAACTGCTGAACAGATTTACAGTTATGCTGATAATTTTAATGATAAGGATTGTGTGTCTTATGGTTTGGGGTATAAATTGCTTTCTGTGAGGGTGAGGAAGTCATTCCCTTCATTTCTTCTGAAAAATTGATTTTGTCAAGGCATATTATAGGGCTTTATATTGGATAGCTGAAAAAGGGAGTAAAAATTTACCTTCTTCTGACGCACTATGCTACATGGCTAAACTAATTAAGTATGACAAATTCAACTTAATGAAATTACAGTAATATTAAACAATGCTGTTCCACATGTAATATAGTAGTGGCATTTTCACAAATATTGTTGCTAGCAGAGTGATTCGTTAGGAGAAAGTATGTCTGGCTCATGCAGACTGCCACTGTTTGAATAATGCAAAACTTCAACGCTGCAGGCTAACTATGACACTCAAAAGAAATTCTGATAATTGTTGCAGCAAGCAAGATTTTATTCCAGTATTTCTGTGAGTCTGTCATAGCTGCTTTCTATTGCCCTCATGACAATCCTGTTTCTTTTCTTCTATTGCTGGAACAAGTGCAAAAAACACTAAAAATTACTATGAAGATGTTGGGAGTTCCAGACAGCAAAATATCAGATGACATTGACTGTAAGATTGGCAGGCATCCAAAACATAACAATCTAAAGCATGTCCCGTAAAGAATGTAACGATGCTTGAACATGTTTAGTAAAGCAGGAAGTTACACAAATCAACTTTTGTAAAACAGTTTTTCTACTCCTTAGAATTAGAGAGTGAAAATTGCATTAGCAGAGAAGGAAAGAGGAAGCACTAAGATGAGGGGCTTTTCTTAATGATTGCTCTTTTTTTCCTGAAACAGAAGAGAAAGGAAAAGAAAGTATTTTTGAAACCTTGAGTATGTCTGCCAGAAAGTCAACTTATCCATAGATACACATAAAAAGATACAAATTCTCATCTAGAAAATTCATTCTAAACCAATGACTGGATTTCATCTGAAGAGTAAAAACAAAATGGAGAAATTTACTCTGCAAATGAAGCACTGCCTAGATATGATTTGTAATATGTTTTCACTGAGCTGCAGAGGCATTGCTGAATGGTTGAGCTGAGGTGCTGAGCTTGCACCTGCAGAGCCAAATACAGTTTTGTTTCATTTGCAGAATAGAATGGGATTATTGTACAGACATAAGAATCTCTAGCATCAGTCTTTTAAAAGAAAAACAGCTTATGAGTTTCTGAATATAACCAAATGGCTACCATGTAAAGCAATTGCACTAAAGCCAAAGATGCATATTTAGAAATAGATCACCAGGTTAAAAATATTCATTGATTTAAATAGGCTTTCAATGAATATTCAACATTTTTTCTAATGTCGTGGAGTTTGTTATACCTGAACAGCATTTGGAAAAGAATATGCTCTGTTGATTTGTTATAGATGAAGACTAAATGCAGACACATCAGTTGAATTATCCTGTTTTACAGAAGGATAATTGCTAGCAGAATCTGGAATCTTGTTTCTAGATATTTTAATATTCCTTGAATATGACAAATAAGATCTGCTATACTTGAGCTGCTGTACTATTTTTTTCATTAGACTCTCCATGACCTCTCTTAAAATTAGTTCGCTGGTTGATTCGTATTCCATAGGGTGCTCATTACTGTTAGTGCACAAAATCCCATGAACATAAAAAATTACCCTAAAAATGGCAATTTCAAGCTTTCATTATAAGGTCTTTTTCACAGTCAGCAGTGTGACTGTGGTTGAAGTTAGTCATGCAGTAAGTAATTAAGAAAATTTACTGTACTATGACTGCATGCATTTCACCATATATTTAAAGAAAAAAAAGCCTTGTGAGATAAACATTTGAATTTTCTTATGAAGCTTTCTTGTTTTGCTTTTTTTTTTTTTTTTTTTTTTTTCAGTTGGGAGATATGTGGGGCATCTACCCATTCTGTACATCACCCAAAAGCCTTACCCTGTCAGCCCATTAGCGTTGATGCCTTAGAAGTATCAGAGTGTTACCACTAACACTTACAGCTAGTAATTCTGCTTTACAGAAGCAAAATAAAGTTAGTTCAATGCAAGGCTGTTTAAATTGTTCCTAGAGACTCTAGAGTGTACAGTTCCAGGAGAGCTGCCTTGGTACTGGTTTTATTTTGTAGGCCATTATCTGCCCTCACTGCTCATAGATGTCTGGACTCCTGCAGAGTGCTCCATACAGATACTGCATTCTCTTCATGTACAATAAAGAGAATTAGATGTGGCCACGCTTTCATTTCAGTGCTGTGACCAGAAATCAAATAAATCTATGGAATATAATAAATGTTGCATTAACCACTTCTGTAGTCTGTAAAGACTGCAGACATTCCATAAATATGTTGATTAGTAATTAGCACAAAGCAGATGGGAAATCATGTTGTCTCCCCAGCAAATTAATGCAAACTAGTTACAGTATTTATACACTGTTGAGACTACCCTGCTAAAAAGTGTTTTAAATAAATAGCAGAACTGGAATTATCTTGACATTTCAGTTAAAAATAGGTAAGAGCAAATATTGAATTTGAAATTAGATTCAAGTTTATGCTGAAAAGAGATCAGGAGTTCTCTATATCCACAAATGATCATTCTTGTGTTTAAATTCTATTTCCTTCTTACAATGTCTTTTAAAGGCATGTGCTTTAAATCTGTATTTTTATTTGCCACCTCTTAAAACTACTGAACTTGCTGTTCCTCACTCCAGATCCTGAATGCAATTAATGAAAGCTTCGTTCTGAAAGTGGCTGGTACTTTCCTACCCAATATATCCCAGCTTTTCACGTACTTATTCAAAAGATTGGATGATCAGAACAAAATGAATAGCAGTTAATTCAAAAGGCTAAGGAATTTGAGCTGCTGATGTCATTTTGAGATGATCTTACAAAAATAGATTACAACTTCCTTCTTTTTTTGCCAAGAAGATTCTATCTCCCGTATCAATCCTCAATATAAGCATGCCAGTAATGTACATAGAGAAATATGTCCATATTAATCTATGCCAGCATTTTGAGGTTGAGCTGTGACCTTTGCTGGGAAAAAATAAACAGCAAAGATGCTTTTTATGTAGGTATAAATTAAAAAGGTAGTTTTGAAGCTGAGTCTGAGACCTATGATTATTTTACTGTCAAGAATGTGAGAAATATCCCGAAATGTGAGAAATTAGAAGAGGGAATTAAGTAATAAGTTCTTTTTTTTTTTTTTTTTTTTTTTTTTTTTTTTTAAGCATGTGTCTGGATTTATAATACATTGTTTTTGGAATAAAAGGCTTTCTCAAATGTTATCCTTAACTGGAATAAAACAGTAAATAGGAAAGTTGGTTTGATATAAGCAGCTTTTTGAAAATTAATTGTGATCCAGAGACTAGAAATTCTTACCATGTAAGTACAAATGTCTTTTGTGTCTTCAAAAGAAATATAGATCTCCATCCTCCAATCAGAATAAACTAGAACACAAGTTTATAAACTGCATGTTATTATACATGGTTATTTCTATCTAACAGATTATTTCAAAGAGAATGGTCAGAGTGATCCTGAACCCACAGGGGACAACTCCAGATATTACCAATCTATTAAGAAACACTTTGAGGAGAAAAAAAGTGGCTCATCATCATTTGTGTCCTCCATTGAAGATGAGCAAAAACCCCTGTTCTCTGGGGTAGCTGATTACCCATCCATAACAGAGAAAACTACAGAGCTGGACTTTGAAGAAATGATTCATGCAACAGAAGAAATACTTATTGACAAAAGAAGTGACTCTTGCAAAGGTAATATAACTGATACTTTTTTTAAAGTTTGCTTAGACATCTTTTTTGGTTTGATTATCAAAAATCATTTTCTTAATGATCCTATTATTTACATAATTGTTACTTTTTTGTTTTCTGAAGAATAAACAATAATATCTATTTTAGATCAAAAATCAGTATTTCAGAAAAGGACTGCTATAGTTTGATGCAATGACAGTGGAACCAGATTACAGAACCTCGCAAAGACTATTCCAGGTTTTGTTAACAAATAATCTCTTAACTGAACTGCCTTAGAACAGTCATGTAAACAAAATCTTTGAGATTGTCAACCAGTGCTTGACTTTACTGAGCACCCCAGGATGAAAAGTACCTTCAAATCAAGAGAATATGCCAAGGCTGGGAGACGGTACAAAATCCTACTTAAAAAGAGTTAAATGAATCTAGGAGTTGTTCAGATAATTAGTTCCATTCTCTGCACTCATGATGTACAACCAAAATTCAGTGAAAGTAGCTGATAATAGCTTGAAGAAATGCTATTGCATTTTGTTGTATGTGTCAACATAGGGTTTAATCACAATCACATTTAAAATTGCATTGCATATGCTAAAATTTTCATTTTCTCATTGATGTGAACTGGAAATAATGAAAAGCCATAGATTAATGTATTCAGTCTTGCTGAAAGTTTGTTTGTAATTATTTCAGTTTGAAGGGAAGAATTACATACAGTTTAATACTGTCTTCCCCAGCAGTTTGTTTTGAATCAATTTAATAATTTACTCATTGTTCAAGAAACTTTGAATTTTAGGTTAATTTTAAACTATCCTGATATTAATCAGGCCAAACAATATCTTTTTTCATTTTAAAGATATGAATGTATGAAGTCTGGTCTCTTCAGGATAGGGTCATATCAGTATGAACACACAAACTTCATGCATGCGTAATACAATCTGTAAGCTTACCTTTCCACTACTGATAGCCAAAAACGTGTCCTGGAAGCTATAGCAACATTTTCCAAGGCAACCTACTGCAGATTTTATTTGAGTTAAATTTAGCATATACAAAGGTTACATATTTTGATTAAGATTACATTCTTTTTTTCAGTCTGTTAACTGGCATTTCTGATAATGTGTGTGAAAGCTCAAATTCAATAAAATATGATCAGCTTTATGCTTTAGACTGCTATTAATTAGAGGTTGTTTATTTATAACTTGTAAGTAAGTACAGTACCATATTCCACAAGAGATAAGAGTCTTTCTTACAGTGTATGAACTTATTTTATAATTTGAGTGCCAGTTAATTTCCTTTGTCATAAATCAAATGTTTATTTTAATAGGCTATAAATACATATTCTGGAGCAAAAACCATTTGTAATTTCCCCAGAATAACACACAGCATTGGAAACTATGGGATTTTACTGAATGATTTATTGAGTAAAATAGCCAGCAACTTGGTTTTACAGGCCTCTAAAAAGCATTGAAATATAAGACCAATATTTTTAGTTTCTATTCCACTGGTTTTACAACATCAGTTATAGCTGCAGCCATAGATGAAAATTTTAACCCTGATTTTTGTCATAAGATTGCTCCCTTTGCTTTGCTGAGAGCTTTCCAGATTCCTTGGACACGGATGTGACATGTGTACCCACTAAATCCAAGTTACATGCTTCTCTGACATTGTTTTCTTCTCCTTCTGTTGGCTTACGTGTACTGGGAACCTGAATATGTAGCCAAGAAGTATCTAAGTAGCCAAGAAAGAATCATTTCCCTTCCTTCTGCTCAGTGCATAAAATCAGTTATAGGTCATGTCATACGAAATCCAAATACTCTACAGCTCCAGGAAACTTTCTACCACCTGCTAACCAAACAGCACATAATATAATAAGCAGCTACTTCTGATTAAAAAGAGGAGAAAGTCTTCCTCTGCCTGGAGGCATGTAGTGAGAGCTCCCCTTCCTGGCTAAGTCTATTTGAAATATAGGACTGAAAAGCAGGCTTCTTTTTTTTTTCCTTTCTTACTTTCTGTTTGTTTGTTGTTGTTTTCTTCATAGACCAATGCTGCTAAAAGATGTGATTGAAAAGGATTAGCTAATAGCATTTGGACAAGCCTCTCATATGTCACTCACACACTGTTTGTTGTTTTTTTTTTTCCTCTTTTCTTTGAAATATGGCTCTGGTTGCTATTGTTTGCTTTGAAAAATTTCCCAAGTGTAAAATGAACATAACCTAAGTTGCGTTATCAGCATGCAGTGCCAAAAGAAGTGTTAGGAGAACCCTGAAAAAACACTCAGGAACTACTGAAGGATTGTGGGATTCACATCCAACAGCTCCTATGACTAAGGCTGACACCTGATAATTGGTCAAGGATTTTCTCCAGCTGTACAATGAAGCAGCTGTCTGAGCACAGTAAGAACATTTAATGTATTCTGTGATTTTTACATAGTTAAATAATTACAAATATTACTCTAATGGGAGATGAAACTTTAACACTTGTTCAGTACAATAGCCTTATTTTTTCCTGAACAGGAGGAAATCTGAGCAGAGAGGAGAATCTGAGGAGTACAAAGCAATTTTTGATAGCATATGACAAAAGATTGATTCAAAGTAATGAAGGCTGAGAATCATAGAATGGCCTGGGTTGAAAAGGACCTTAAAAGTCATCTAGTTTCAACCCCCCTGCTATGTGCAGGATTGCCAACCAGTAGACCAGGCTGCGCAGAGCTACATCCAGCCTGGCCTTGAATCCATCCAGGGATGGGGCATCCACAGCCTCCTTGGGGAACCTGTTCCAGTGCATCACTACCCTCTGTGTGGAAAAACTTCCTCCTAATATCTAACCTAAATCCCCCATCTCAGTTTAAGACCATTCCCCCTTGTCCTATCACTGTCCACAGTTGTAAACAGCTGTTCCCCTTCCTGTCTATATGCTCCCTTCAACTACTGGAAGGCCACAATGAGGTTCCCTGGAACCTTTTCTTCTCCAAGCTAAACAAACCCAGTTCCCTCAACCTTTCCTTACAGGAGAGGTGCTCTAGCCCTAATGAGGATGAGGTGTAAATATGTATAAAAAGCACTGCTTGTCATGAATATGTCACCTGTAGGCTCTGCAGAGCTCACGGCAAGATCTTTCTATCAGATAAAGGTAGAATATATATCCCATTATAAGTAATTTGTAACTTTCCACCAGTTTGGTGAAAAGGAAAAACTGCCTGAAACAAAGAATGTAAACTCATTTAAAAATTCACAGAGGTATAAATTAAACAAATTGAAAGAGGATGAAAAAGTAGCTCAAACAGCAAAAAGGAAAGGAGTGCACTTCAGTTATTTTTGAAGTCAGTTGCAGCTGACTTCTTTGACCAAGAAGTATTAGGGACAAAATGGATTGGATTTGTGCAAGCAGGTACAGGCTGGAGCCTGGAATAGTCATAATCATTTTCTACAGAGGGCTGAATATAAATATAAATATAAAGGACTATACAAGGACTAGGTTTTTATTTACATGCATATAAAATATACAGGTTTAGAAGGGGAATTAAAATGAGCAATTTATCTGAAACTATAGTGAATCCTAATTATGCATTTGAGGATTTTTACCTTGAAGTAAATTTACTGTCTGTACCTCAATCCAAAATGTTACTCATAGGTTGAACAGAAATATATGTGTATATATATTTACGATGAAGCTCACTTTAGTATTTAAGTGATCTCTGACTGACCTATGCAAAATATTTCCTTCTGTTACAAGTCATAGAATATGAAACAAAATAAACTGGCACCCTTCACACCATAGTACAGCACCAGTCTCTGAAACATGCTTTAGATACCAACGTAAGGGTTGGAGACTCGTGATGCTAAAACTACATTAGTGCAAATCTTTTTCCCTTTGAAAGTAATAACCGATTTAGCTTTGGTTGTTTGGTCTGGTTTGGAGGCATTCCAACACACTGTAATGCATGTCAAATGCTGTAAATGCAATGTAGCAAGTTCTCCTTTTACACCAAAAAGCTAAACAGTAAATACACTACAATATAACACTCTAGGGCAAGAAAATAGGTTTTAGCCAGACACAAAGATAGTCAAGTATATAATTTCATACATTTAGTTTAGAGTAAATATGTCTAATCTCAGCTTGAGAAAACTAGGGGTTTGCTGTTAAAAAATAAGTAATGACTTCTATTTCTTTAGTTTTCTTGGCAGAACTCTGATGATATTGACTATATAGAGCTACTTTATGTATGTTCAGCTTAAAATATTAGCATGTTGCTATCCTTATGTTAAAATTTTATAATTTTTGGATGTCTCCCCTGTTATTTTTCCCTAAACATTGGTAAGGAATAAATACAGGTCGCACAAATTTTCACCATATCAAGCTGTCTTCTAAGGTTTGGAGAAACACTTGTAAATGGGATGTTTAAGTCGTGCCAACGCTCTTTTACAGCATGTGTGTAAATCTATACTTTTCCTATATTTTATTTTTCCTCAGATATCACTGATAAAAGAAACTGGGAGGAACAGAACATGAGGGAATACCAAGACTCCCCAAGTCACTCAGCATTACCACATGTAACATGGGGTATCTGTGATACTGAAAGTGACTACGTATATGGAGAAGTAGAGAATCGATTAGATTTACTTCAAGAACAACTCAACAGGTAAAAACAGAGATATTATAAATATATATATTTGTGATAAGGGTCTACAATTGAACAGATATCAATGATTCTACAGCAGGAATTAACTTGCGCAAGAGATCTCCAAAGGTATTCGTACCTTCAGAAGCTACAAAAAACCTGAGTTGCACATATGAATTCATAGCAGCCTAAGTATCACCTAAATTCAGCCTTCCTGACTCTTGGGAAAAGAGAAAAAAAAAAAAAACAAACTATTCTAGGAATGCTGAGTACAAAATTTATAAATCACTGTCAGAGTAATTATATCACTCACTTCTAGGTACCCACGTTAATCACTCTGAATTGCCTTATAGAAGAGCATTTCTCATTATTTTTTGAGTGAGAAAATAACATTGTTACTGATAAACTAAGATTTAGATTGTTATACATGTTATTAAGCTGCTTTATTTTTTAACTCTTTGTGTTTATAAACTCTTTCATGATTTCAACATTTTGATCTTTTCTGGATCTTCTATGGATGCTGTTATAGGCAATATTCTATCTTGCTTATGTCATATGTGGCTTGCTGGACTAAAAAGCAGGATCACTTTTTTCTTGTCTTTTTCCATGCCTTGGCAAATTAGCATGCTAACCAAATTGTTAAAAGGATATAGAGGACTGGAAAGCCACTGTACCAGGACTCTGGGCCTAGTGTTATCTCTTTCTCCTCTTTAAGCTCCTGTTCAGGGAGGTCTGTGGGCCAAGCACTTAAGGTTCTCTTGTTTGTTTTTGGTTGTGTGGCATGATGGGGCCTGTTTAAATTGTGGAGAAAGGAGGGAGAATTTATATATACAGTAGTGATGAATAAATACAATCAGTTAAACTCTTTGATTAGAAGTAAAGGGGAAAGCTTACAAAGTGCTGACAAAGTAAGAAGGAAGACATTTTATAGTTAATTCAAAGAAAGAGACAAGTGATGATGCAAGTCCACCAATGCCTGATCCCTTATATACACTGAGATATTAAATCTCAAGTTTAGCAGACAGAAGTTCTGTGGATGGTGGCATGTTGCTGCAGTTTTTTCCCCTGTGACACAAGCATCGTGCTTGTGTGAGATCAGCATGTTTTTAAGTTGCAAACAATCCAAGGGAGATGAACAAGAGGGCAAGTAGAGCATGACTGACTAGCCTCTTGTTTTGTGCTTTTCACTACAAAAGCTGATGCCACAGAACTAACTTCTCCCAATAAATGAAGAAACAGCATCTTAAAAATACTTTGGGCATACTTTTCAGATTAATTTCATGTATGCTTTATAAATAAGTGACACAGATGATGAACAACACTAGAATGAAAGGAAAAAAGGTACCAAGCAGCAAAGATTCTGGTGAAAGCAAAAATCTGTCTCCACAGGATCATTTCTGCTTCTGTAGGGAATCGAGGTAGTAACATTCACAACATTAAAGGCTACTGACAAAGATCTGTTTGCTCTTGTCGGAAGATGAGTGCAGTACAGAAGGCTATGTATCCAAAGTGCAGTCTATTGTAGCATGCTTGTATCTTTCCAGCAGCTGAGGAGGCATTATGGGCATTACCTATTGCTGAGCTTGTCAATCATATTGGTATAAGACCATTTGAAAATCATTTTAGTGCTGCAAAATTGTAAGAATGACATAAGCAGATAAAATATTTCAAAAGTCATATAAAACTTATGAAAAGGAAAATAAATAGAAAAGAGCTACTGAGTTTGAACATCAGAAATGCTGAAATTACTTATGGGGTCTGAATAAACTTCCACAGTAAAGAAACCTGGTCAGATCTTGTTTGTTTGTTTGTTTGTTTCTAAACTAATGATCTTGAATCTTTCATTTCTAACTGTGGAAGGATGCTACTGTGGTTTTCTGCTTATTTCAGTGCATTCAATTAGCATTGAGAGTGTCAGAATTAATTGACATATATAAAAATGTGTCCCATCCTCAGCCAGTACAAATCAATTTAATTTTGATGAAGAGAGGAGTTATTCCTGTTAACTTCAACGGAAGATCTGGTTCCCTCTATTACTTTCTCTTCCAAGTATAAGAGACAATAATGAACTCATTCTTAATGTTGCAAAAAAAAAAAAAATTAGAAGCAAGCTGGCAAGTGTGATCCGTAAAGGAAAGGGAGAGCTAGCACGCTTTGGAAAGGCTCAGTACTCCCTCTTCTGTTCTTTCCTCTTAAGGCATGCTCATGTCACAACAAGAGCTTGCTTTATTAATAAGCTACAAGTTCCTCCTGAATACATCTGTAATCAGTATGTTAAAATACACCCAGTCCTGACCACATGTTCACCAATTTTATTACTTCTCTAGGCTTGAATCCCAGATGACTGCTGATATCCAAACCATACTGCAGCTTCTGCAGAGGCAATCAACACTCATTCCACCTGCCTATAGCATGGTGACTGCAGGTGCAGAGTATCAACAGCCAGCAATCCGGTTTACACAAAAGCTTCATCCTGTAGCATCAATTAAAACAGACAGAAGTTTCAGTCCTTCATCTCAGGTTTGTATATGTCCAATGAGATTAAAAGAGCCTTGTTAATCTTGTTAGTTTACTGGAGGAGGAAAATCACAACAATCTAGGTTCTTGTTCAGCAGTTAAAGAATATGAAATTATTATTTTGATCTAGCATCTCTGCATTGGACTTTCGATGCTGTAATTTCAGAAACCACATTTTCTGTGAGAGTTTAAGAGATTTATACAATGATCTTATAATCAGATCAATTAATGATCATGTATATCACCAAAATTAGCAGAAAATAAGTATTAGACACAAGAGCAAGCCATCGGAAGCATGAGACTTGCCTGCTTGGGTATATCTGCCATAGGTCCTGCTCTTGAAGTCCTCAGAAACATGATATGAACAGGATGGTCATAAATATATGGAGGTAAGAGGGGACAAAAACCATGTTTAGTCCCTTGCCACTGACAGAAATCTGCTCATACAGAGCTGCCACATACCTACATTTTCCAATATATGTTTTCCACTCCAGTTCTGTTCAGGCAGTATTTCATTTTCCAAATTTGTTTGGAATTTCTCGAACTTAACAGTTTGGACAGATGTGGCAAGTTATTTCCTGACAAACTGCAGCAAACAATCAGTAAATACACTGTTCTTAGATGTATCAAATTCCTCACACATATGTTGAAGCACATACAGGCACAATAAGCTCAACATGTCCAGAAAGCATCAGTTTGCATGCATAAGGACTGTCAGGACAGGACACATGCAGCACTTTTCAGAAGTGTTTGCCCACTATGCCAGCTTCTGCCCAAAACGTATGCATACCTTGGTCAGAACAGAAATACAGCAAGTCTGCATTAAAGCATCAGCAGGCACACTGCACAGTTTGAATGGATTCAGAGTATAAAAGTGAAGAACTGAGGCCTGAGACTGGAATCAAAATGGTTTTAATGTTTGGACTGAAGCAATTCCAGAAGTATGTTTTAAAACCAGGAATTCAAGAATACTGAAATCCATCCTCTTAGATTGGGTCTCAAGAATATTCAGACCTTGAGAAACAACAATATATGTGTATCTTGCTGTCATGTGAACACATCTGGGGGGGGACGACAAGATTCCTACATTTCTACAGTTGACCAACAGAACTGCATTCAATTACATTAAATCAAGTGCTGTACCACATAAAAATACTTCAGCTCACTGTTTTACTGTCAAATATGGTTTTCCAGCAACAGTCTGTGCTAATTTTGAGGAGAAACAAGAGCCTAGAAGAGATTGATAAAATTATTGTCATCTTGTTTCTTCTCCTTTCCAGTGTCCTGAATTTCTAGACCTTGAAAAATCGAAACTTAAATCCAAAGAATCTCTCTCCAGCGGAGTACATCTTAACACAGCCTCAGAAGACAACCTGGCTTCCTTTTTAGATCAAGAACATAACCACTCTGCAGAGTGTCCCCCACAGCATCCTAAACCTTATCTCCCATCAATTAGGCACCCTTCCTTGCCAGAATGTTCAGTAAGCACTGTAGGAATCTTGAGTCTTCATAGGCATGTTTCTGATCCTGGTCTTCCTGGGAAATAATACTTTTATACTATAATTTCACATAAAAAATGTAAGTGCTTTTAATGGCTGTTTTTCCTTTTTTGTATTTAAATCCTCTATACTTGACTCAGGGGCTACAAGGAATATATATGCAAAAGTACTGTATATTTTCCTAAATCTGAAGCTTGTAAGCTAAAGTTGAGCAGTTCTGATGTAAATATATACGTACACATACACACTAACTGTATGTTCCAAATGTAAAACTGCCAGCATTCTAAAGGCACCTTATATTTTTATTTTTTATTAAGTAACATGCATGTTCTGAGATTACAGTTTATGTTGCATGGAGACAACCATTTACTGCTGTCACGAAAACAGTATTTTATTGTGGATATGTCTTCAGAGCAAATAGGAAACCAATAACAATAATTTACATAGGAAAAAAACTCCTACCTGACCAACCTAAACTCCAAGTAAAAACTTCTAGCTCACTTCTGAAAATTTGGGTTGACTTTCTTGTAGTGAGCTTTTCACAATAAATGGTAATGATTCTGCGCCTAGAAAAAGAATAAGGTAACCAAGTATTCTGGGTTCGAAACAGTTAGGACTTAGAAAGCAGCCTCCTTCCAAAGCAGCTGAAGCAGGGCAGACTTTAATAGTTAGAAAAACTGCCACGTGCTGGAAAGTATCACCACAGATCACATCACAAAACTACATTAATTGAACAGTTTGTTTCCAGTACTACTTCATTTTATTTTATTCACATCATAGAACTTAACTGTCATGAGCAGGCAGGTACTCATCATCTGTCACTCAAACATAATCAAATGCAATAAATCTGATTTCTGTATAATACAGAAGACTGTGTTCCTTTTGTTCAATGCAAGTTATGAACAACCTGTAAAATTAAAAATTCGTTACAAACTTTAGTTTTACAATTATTAGGGTGGTTGTTTTCAGTTCTCTCTTTTTAATGACTGGCCCATCCACAGTGCTCCCAGATAGAGTACATACATATGTGGACACAGATACCACACACACATTCCCATAGGTGTGCATGTGTGTAAATGATATATGTACATATGTGTGTATGTAAGTGTGTGTATGTTTATATACACATACATGCAAGTGTGTGTATATACCTACACTTACATGTAGGAGTATAGAGTTATATATATATATGTATATATGTAAGATCACTTTGAGGAACAATTGTAAACTTTCTTATTACAAAAGAAGTAAGCTTAGCTTGTGTCCAAAGCTGACTACACTAGAATAAAATGATTGAAGGTCCATAGGCTTTAAATACAGTATGTACTGTATGTGCATAATGCTTTGTGAATACTTAGATTTAATTTTATTAAAATATTATTCTGCTTCAAATGTTGTGTTTATTTTAGAAGGAAATGGCCTTTTTATTACTGTTTTAAAATATTTTAAAATGTTCACATGATTTTCTAATTTGAAAGATTTAATGTGAAATCTCTCTAGGAAGAGAATTGATTACAGAAACGTGTGTAACCCAGTTAGTGGGTAACCACTGAAATTTTTACTAAAAATCCCTTTGCTCTAAACCAGTGTGCAGAGTAATGCAGTAGAGGTTAACCTTCAAATTAACAGATACATACATTAGGAGTCGGCTCAGAATAATACATAGCACTTTTAGTCATACACAGCAAGTAGATAAATGTAAGAAGGCTAAATCTTCTCTCATTTAAAATTTGTGGGAGTGTTGAATTACTGAGCAAGGCTCTTCTTCATCTCTGTATGTAAAGATACAAAAATGAATTAACTCGATACCTTTGTAAATTAGGAAAATGCAGCCTCTTTCATATACAGTCAAGTTTTCTTCTGCCTCATGATACTGCTGACTGTTGAAAGGTTCAAATCATTCAACACTCTGCTCTTACCTCCACCACAACAATTAGAGTTCTTACTGCATAGTGCCTTGTAGGATTGGATCCCAGTTGACAGCATCATTGAGCCAGTTGGAATGTTTGCCTCCACATACGCCATTGAAACAGCACTGCTGAATAACAAAGTGAAATAGCTTCTGGGTTTTGTTGTTTTTATTCCTCAGTGTCAAGCATTAACAAATTCTTCTCTAAGTTTAGTAACTACTACTAGTATCTGTTAAAAAGAAGAAATTAGCATTTTCTAAAAAATTATTTGTGGTCATACTACATTTAAAAGAAACCAGTAAAAATTAAAAATAAAATTAATGAAAATAAGTATAATATATGAGCACTAATTTACAAAACATGTTTTGCTCAGTTTCATGACCTTGAATTTTATATTTATGCTAAGAGACCAAACAAAACAGTGGAGTAGAGAGCTGGGGAAGAGAAAAAGCAACTGTCATGATTGTTTCAAGTGAAGATACTTTACTCCATACTTTACTTCTTGTGTTGGCCTCCAAAGCTTTGTTCCTTCACTTCTCTTTGTCTGTATTTTTTGAAAAGAACAAACTGAACTGGATCAACTGAGGGAGACTTTGCATAATTACAGAAATTCTAAACGACCTAACATACCTGCTACTGAGTGAAGAAACAAAACATGAAAGACAACAACTTCATTGGCTGTCCCTAGCTGTTCAATCCCTGCCAAAGACCTGCCTTCTCAGATATCTTCTTCTCTTGTTTAAGTACAGTGAAACATACAGTGACCTATTGCTTTGAGCTTCTTTTCTTCTACAAACATATACAAACCATTGTTTTTGGAAATGTGAACAGCAAAAACTTTTTTTTTATTTTTTAATTTTTTTCCTGGAGTGCAGTTCAATTCTGACTCAGTAGAAATAGTTCTCAGTTATCCAACTAAAGCTGGAAATCATACAGGAGTTGCATACTCATATATCAATACACAGCTGTAACATATCCATAGATGCTTTCAGAACTTTAGGGGATGTGAATTTGGTCTTGCTTGAGCCCAGGAAGTCTCATCTTGACTGTTCACATTTAAAACTTGTGAGTAAAAATACCCATAAATTATAATATGTACGTACAGAAAAGTATCCAGGAAACTCAAGAATAGGTACTATAACTGAAATATCAAAGAAATCAGGACAATCACTCCAGCTATGAGAATTACCATGCAGGCTATTCATCCCCACCCAAGCTGGCCTTGAATGCCTTCAGGAATGGGGCATGCACACCCGTTCCTCTGGCAGCCTGTGCCAGTGCCACTGCCTCACCATCACATCATTAAAACGTGTTTGATAAGGAAGACCTATATGCCAAGTGCTAAGTATGCTGACTACTGGTTTGCTTTTTTTGTTTGCTTTTTTTTTTTTTTTTTTTTTTTTTTAAGTAAAAGTTATTTTGTGACGCTTTATTCAAACTTGCATCATTACATGCAGCTGCTCCAAATGGTTGCAGTTGTGTTCAATAAAGTCTCTTGAATCGTTTTTCCTCTTTTTCCTCCTCTTTTTTTTTTCACACAACAAAAGAAAACATAAACACCATGTTCCCTATTTGTTTATTTATCTCTTACGTCATTATCACTAATGAAAAACCAACTAAAATATAGGTGGATGCTCTTGTTTGAACTGTAGTATATAGCAGCCATCTTCAAATAACAAGGAACCTGGTCTCACTTTCTAAATTCATATCAAATGTTTAATGAAAATATTAATTGTAAATTGTAAAATTGCTTGAAATCTGAAAATAACTTGGTATGCAGATACTGGTATAAATAACTTTTAAGTACCATCTTACATACTTGGAATTAAAAAAAAGCATGCAGAAAGTCATGTCACTACTCTGAACCTAGCATTCCCGTAAGCTTAACTAGGAATGATAACTTACTCATGTCATGCAGCCATCAATACACACATATACTACACTTACTCTAGACATCAATTTATTTTCTAGGCTGGAAAAAACGACTGTAATAGAAGTTAAGCAGCAAATAGTTTAACGGAAGAAAAATAAACAAGATCCAAGCATAGATCATATATGCAGATCATCACTATGCTCAGTTTTATCAGTAATAGTAAAGGAGCATGTCCTCAATCTTGTAACTGCATGAAGGCATCTTGATGGCAAGCTTACATTTTCTCTTTGTATATCTATGTATAAGTAGTAGACAGAACTGCATTACTAATGAACAAACATTTTTCTTCATCTAGCTACTTGTATTTTTTTTAATGCTCACTTGGGAAGTTCTTTGATTATTAATGAATACAGAACATAGCTCTTCTCTTTGGAATGGAAATTAGATGGGCCAAACTAAAGTCTTCATTAAAGGACAAATTTGCCCCATTCATGTATTATTTACATTTTCTATACTGAATCTTCACAACATTGTAAAATTGAAGATAGAATAATTCAAAAATTTAATCTATAGAAATACTTCACCATTATGAGCTGAGGCAAATCCTGTTTGTATAACAGGATTTTGTAAATATAGTTAATATAAGTTTTATTTTGCTTCCAGAAAAGATCTCCTGGAAAACTGTTAACTGCATATATATTCATTATTTCATACCACCATAAAAATTTATTTGCAACAAGTCTAAATCTGCTCAAATAAACGTATTACATTTATTTCAGTCATGAGCAACAGGATGTGAATATTTCATTCATGACGGCACTGAATTCAGTCACCCCATTACAAGCACTACTAACAGGGATCCAAAAGGCCAGACAAGTTTCAGCATTGAAAATACCAAGCAAAAATTTCTGGAATTATATTTAACATAACACTATGGGAATAAAAAGAAAAGCAAGAGATTGCACAGGATACTGCTCACTGGCCTGAAGCACACAAAACAGAGACACGAGATTAGATTGTTTCAGAAATTCCTATGCACAATAATTTCCACACGGCATACTAGGCACCATCTTCTAGGAAAACTGGAAGTTATGTTCATGTATAGCCCCTCTAACTTCAAAATTCAAAATATAACTTCCATTTATAAAATGTAGATAAGGAAGCTGCCAATTGCTATCCAATTGAGGCCACATTTTTACAAATGATTTTGATTGAAATGATTGATCCTGGTGAAATGCCTCTCCTTAAGCCAGACAATTCTGTTTATTCTGTCATTTTCTTTCAGAGAATTTTCAATAAACCACGGAGTGGGTTTACCATGTAAGGCCTATTCAGACTGTGATTTTAGTGATCC